AATCTTCTGAATATCTGTTTGAATCTGTTTCATGGATTCCATTTCTTTCTTACAGTGGGCAATCATGGTTTCCATTTCTTTCTTACGCTGGGCATTCCTGGCTTCCAGCATGTTTCTGAGCTCATCTATTTCTTTTTATTGGTTTCTGTTCTAGAGCCTCTAATCATGTCTTTCACTCTGCTCACCATCTCTGTAGATATCTGGGAGATTATTTCTGCTTTGAATTTTTCTAGAGCCTCATTCATCTGTTTTGTTACTTCCTGTACTATCAGTTCAGGGTTTCCAGGTAGTTTTTTATCAGACCTCATTTCCCCCAGAAATTGCCTTTTGTGGGGTGGAAGTCTGGGTTTGTGACTTTCTTAAATGCCTTCTCATTTTTGTTTTTGGTACTGTCCCTGGTTTAGTTCCTGGATTGATATTATGTAGGTGTTTATTTTAAGTATCCTTGTTGGTCTATTTAAAACCCTTATGGAATGATTGCTTGTCAGAGGTGTCTTCCAGATATAGCTGGTCTTTAAGTTTTCAGTCTCTAATGACTCTGAGGCTGTCTCATTTTCATTGTACCAGAAAGTAAAACTGTTTAGATCAATCATGACTTCTTAGCCCAAGTCATACAATCAGCAACACCATAGCATCAAATACCTCTTAAAGAATGACAATTTGTGGTAGTTATTAATCTTTCACCTTTAAAAAATAAAAGGCCTCCTTCAAGGTGTGTCTCTGCTGTCACAATAGACAACATGGGCAGCAGTGTGCAGTTATAAGTCAATGAGTTTCAGTAAGCTAGTGCCAGACCCGTGAGATTCAGGCAGATTTCTGGTTCCAAGTCCGAAGTTGAGCTCCCTGTCCTCCTGTAGGGTGGCACTCTGCAAGTTTCCACTGCAGGTTTCAGCTGCTTTTCCCCTGAAGAAAGTCTAGTTTCCAATGGGAGCTGATAATCCCTCCAACTTACCAATCACGGTGGCCTGGTGTGTCTTTATTGCAGAGATTCCCTTCACTTTTCCAGTGGGCTTGTTTTCATCAGGGAGCCTGAGACAGGCATTCTCTCTGTTGTTCACTTCTGGAGCTCAGGACAATGGCTTTTGTCCCCCTGTGCCTCTGCAGTGTGTAACCAAGTAGCTGGACAGCCAAAAGGCCAGAGGCCGGGTGGCGGAGTATTGTTGGAGGCCCTGGCATGGCCCAGCCATCAGCTGGTGGGCCTGCCCGGGGTGGGGGTGGGGGTTCTCCTCACCCTGTCCTGGTGGCTGGTAGAAAGCTGGTGGAGCAAGCCCGAGCAAGCAGGTCCCAGTCAGCCTGCAACCGCTTGGCCCCTCTCAGCCACGCAGGCTCCATTCTGCCTAGCCCTCAGCTGGTGGGCCTGCCTGGGTTGCGGGGGGGGGGGTGTCTTCCTCATCCTGTCCTGGTAGCTGTTGGAAAGCTTCCTATACCATTTTAAGAGGGGAAAGGAAGAGAGAGAAAGGGCAGTTAAAGGAAAGCAAGTGACTTTTAGGAAAGGGAAGAGGGTTCTTAGGAGAATAGGTGGCAAACACCAAGAGCTGTGGGGCAGTGTCCGTTTAGGTGATTTCTTACCTAGTGCCACCTCTATTCACCAGCCATAGGAGTCAATCTTCCCTAGCTATAAAACTTTCAGGGAGAGAATTTATGACAATTGAATTGCTGGGGAGATTCTGATTGTAGGCAGATAAGGATAGCTCAGAAAAACCATCACATAGTGTATAGTCATAGTAGTACATCACATAGTAGTATACATTTCAGGCTCAAATTTGGATTTAATTTGAAGAAAGAAAACAATGCTTCTCTTATATCTGAATTTATGAGAGTAAACTTCACATAGGCTATAGATGCAAATGATCCTGAGATATATAAAATACATTCATTTATTATCAACTATTAACAATCCAATGCAGATTTTTTCATCAAATGGACAAGTAAGGGAAACTTGAAACTTTTGGAAGAGATAGCAAGAGTTGAAGGCTCACTAGGAGAGCTGCCAAAAGCATCAGACTTTTCGCATGGGACTGTCTGTCCCTCTGTCTGTCCCTATCTGTCCCTCTGCTGGCCACCTTTTCCTCACACATTTCTTTTCCTTGAAAACTAAACAACCATTAACATCTGGGTAGAAAATATTGATGAGTGCTTAGAAATTCCTGCATGTACACCTAGCCTCTCTCTGAACCTTCAGAAGACTTTTCATTGAAAACAGGCCCTGCATGATTGGGTAATAACTTAAAATGAATTATTATTTCTTTGTGATTTCCTTTCTCTTATAATGTTATGTCCCTGCTACAGCTCTACCAATGTGTTGGTATCCTGGATTTCTGATGGTCTCTGAATGTAGTTAGTTCCTTTCCTCTCTTTGCTAACTTCTACATCTCTCCATTTCCCTAATCACTAATAACAAGAAAATTATGTAGCAATATATTATTTACTGAAACTTGCCAAAGATGACATAGGATAAAGTTTCCTTATGCACTCCACTTTCAAAACATTGTTAAATACCTTTGTTCTCCAAAGTTCTCATTGCAGCAATGGAGTGTTCCTCTTTTTACTTTTTCCAAGCAAGGTCCAAACTTCTTTACTTTTTTGAATAATTCAGTTTGTCCTCTATGCTTACAATCTTTAGGTGCTAACAAAGCAAAAAAGGGACTCTCTCACCCCATAGAAGGAAGTTTAGCAACTATTTATAACTACTTGAAAATGGACTTGAGTTTCATACTCTCCTCTACCTTCATCTCGTCTGCACTATGTAGATTATAGTGTATTTTCCCAAATATGTAGAACAATTCTCTTAAAAGAATGCTGGTAAATATAATTTTCCCTGCCTAATTCCATAATAGTGTGGCTGCTTATCAGGGTCATTCAATGTTAGCAAATTGTAGAGATGCCAGGATATTAGAAAGTTCAGAGGTCAAGTATCCCAGAGAAAATGCTCCTTCCCTGAGAGTGATCAGAATCTTCTGATTTTCTTAGATTCTGAAACAGCCTAAGAAACAAAATAGTAAAAGTAAGGTAATTCTGAACTAGTTCTGTTTTGATTATTACTGCTGCATAACAAATTACCCCAAAACTTTAATGGCTTAATGCAACCATTTTGTTTTGCTCCTGATTTTTTGAGCCATGAATTTGGAAGAGCTCAGCTGGATGGTCCTGGTTTGGATCTCTGAAGCAATGAAGTCAGATGTCACTGGGCCCACTGTCATCTGAAGGTCAGAATGAGCCGGATGTTCAAGATGACTCACAGGAGTGGCAGTTGGTACTGGCTGCTGGGAATGATGTTGGGGCTGTTGAATTTAGTATCTAGTTGTAGGCTTTCCATGGATTTGACTTCCTAATGGCATGGTGACCTCAGGGAAGTTGAACTTCTTACATGGCAGCTTTGAGCTCCAAATGTCAACAAAGCAAAATCACATAGCCTTTTTTGACCCAGTCCTGGAAGTTACAGAGCATCACTTTTGTCACATTCTGCTAGTAGGAGCAACCACATGGCCTGCCCAGATTCAAACCAAGTGGAGTTAGACTCCTTTCTTGATGGAGGAGGGGCCAGCTCACATAAAAGTTTGGAAAATACTGTTGCAGTCATTTTGGGAAATGCAGCCTTTCTAATCGTGTAGAGAGAATCAACCATGCTGCCTGTGTAGCCACCATGTTAGTGAACAAAACTGCTATGTTAATGAGATTATTAATGTCCTTTGGAAGAGCCTATTCCACAGCCACCATCTCCTACTAAATCATGCATCAGTGCCTCATAGAAATTTCACCTGAAATTCGACTTGAATTCCTATGACTATCAGTAGAAAGATAGTGCATGGAAGTCTGAAGGGATACAACAGATCCCTTTCCTGATATTTACATCCACAAGTTTATACAGAAGTGAGAATAATTTTACTTTGGCTAAAGTGGCTGATTAGATTGAATCATATCTGGGCACAGACCATCTATCTGACCATTTTGAGGACCAAACTAGTCCTATTCAGGTTTCTGTACTATAAGGTCAACAGTGTTTAGTACTAAAACATTACTGGCGAAGCCCATCCGACCTCCAAGGTTGCTTGACAAAGTTCCAGCTGGGGGAAAAGAAGGGTGGAACACATCGCACCCTCATGTTTTATTTTTTTCATGCCATAATGTTTACAATTGTTACTCTGGTCACAGGAGTCATTGTGTTTGTGACTAACAACAAACTCTCCATGAGGCAAATTGGCAATGATGTATTGAAATCTGATCTGGCTCAAAAGTCCCAAATTCCAGTTTCTCTTAGTTCTATTACCTCATCTACTTCTAAAGAAACCTCTCCTAAAACTCCCTCTGTTTTCCCACTAACTATAACTCCCCCTCTTATTGCTGATGTTCCTTTTACTAAAGGGGTCTTATGAAGAAATTAGAAGGATAGACTTTAGATGTAAGTAATTGTGGGAAATGAGAAATGGAGAGAAAGTTAAGACAGACAAATACATTAAGGGGGCAAGTTATTCAATATTTCTCACAGTGCTGAAAATATTTCCTGCTCATGAACTATGAACCCGAATGACACTTAGGTAAGATAAATAGTGGTATAGGAAAGTAGAGAGCTAATAGCAAACTATATTAACCATTGTGCAGTTTCTCAAGGGCTAGATGGTGACCACAAGTTTGACATTTAATTAATTAAATCTTGCTTGTACCCCCACTGATATAGAGATTTTGATTAAGTTACATTTTGTTCTACTTAGGTATGGGAAAATAAGGGGACAATTGTAATTTTTAAGAAATGTATTCATGATGTTCAATGAAATGAATCAGCTTAGAAAAAATATACTGTTTAGTAAAAAATAACCTTTACCTCACTAGATATTGCTAAGGCAACCAAAAATGTAAACATATTCCGCCCAATGCCTCTTAGCTATTGCTTAAAGATATAAAAATAAATCAGACCCTGAGACTTCTCAGAGGGAACCTGAACATTGCTTGTGAAGGTTCTTTTCTCATCGCCGGCCCAGGACCTCTCCCCTTCCTACCCTACATCGACTGCAGCTGGTCTGCGGCACATTACTTTTCCCTAAAATAAAACATATTTTCAAATTACACTGAGCAAACTGTTTACATTTCTACATAATGATTTCACCTTTATTTAATGTGATCTTTGGGGTCAGTGTAGTGGGAAAATGAAAACAGGATACCATATCTGGCAGAGTTATGTGGCAGTCTTGTAAAACAAACTTCTGATAAAGCTATAATCCCCTTTTTTAGCTTAACTATGATTAGATTGGAGACTCTGGAATAAAAGGACATTCACATAACATGGATGATAAATTTATTATACACACATTCACTAGGGAAGTAGAGGAAGAGATGCTAGGCCCTTTGTAATTGCTTTATTTATATGACCCTTTAAAGCTCATGAAACATGTCTCTGAGGTATTTATAATTTTTGTTTTACTCCTCTGAGCATGAGATTCATGAAGTTGGCACAACAATAAGGGAGGAAGTCATATATTTCATATGTCAGCCAGAATTATAGATTAAGGATTCAAACTCACAACCAAATCATGAATCTACAAATGAATTTTCAAAATTTTTCTATGGCTTTTAATTCAACCTAATTCAACATCATGCCCAAGAATTGAACAATCTAAGAAGGATGAACAGGCTTTATTATGTTTAGTCCTATAGTTTTGACACCAAACTGTGAAGGTTTGTATTACATTTTTTTAAAATGGTAGGGCCAGGGATTTAGCTCAGTGATTTCGCTGCCTGCTGCACAAGTGCAAGGACCCAAGTTCGATCCCCGGTACAAAAAAAAAAAAAAAAAATAGAAGAAATGGTAGAAAACTTCTACTCCACAAGATAAAGAAGCTTTTTCTAAGGTTTGAATAAATTTGTAAAGTGGTTTGTGAAAGTTATAGAAAACTCACCTAAGATACTGTATCAATCAGGATCCAGTTGGGACAACCTAGACCATGTCAAGTTTTGCAATAGAAATAATTTAGTACAGAGCATTATTAGCTGCTAAGGGTCTAGAAGAGCTGAGAAAGCAGATACGCCTTCTTAGAGATTAGCAGTTTAGAGATTAGTAACAGCAGGAAGCCACTACCACCCACAATGCTGAAAGGACAACTGAAGGAGATGGTGTGTATCAGATTTCAGTAGAAAGAGCCATTGGATCTATAAGATGTTTAAGATGTCTGCTGGGTGGGAGCTGGGAACATGGAAGAGGGCTCATCTAGGATCACGCAAGAGACAACACCAATACTGGAATTACTGCCTGAACTAGAGGAAAAAGGGAAGAAATTCCCTGGATTCTCTTTTCTTTGCATTCTCCAATTTCCCATTAGTGCTGCTACTGCTGAGCTAGCTAGAGCCAACTGGTCACAGAGTTTGGAAATATCATTTGGAATATCCAGAGTGTGACATAAATCTGGAAACAAACAGATGAATTACAATTACAGTGGATTAAATAAAGAGGATTTGTTTTTCTTACTTAATAAGAGATCTGGAGGTAGACACTTGATAATGCTGGTTTCATGTCTGCATTAGATTTCTGTTGCTGTAACAAAATGTTGAGATAATCAATGCAGAAAGAGTAAAGGTTTTTTTTGTTTCACAGGTTGGAAGGATTCAGTTCACAGTTGGTTGGCTCACTGCTTTTAAATCCTTGGTGAAGCAGTACTGTATATAATGATGAAGGCATGTGGCAGAGAAAGCTGTTCACCTCATGGCCACCTGTACTGAAAAGAGGGAGAGGAAGAGATTCATATTCTACAGTTCTGCTTTACAGACGTGCTCCTAGAGACTTAACTTCCTAACTTTATCCCAGTAGGCTCCATCTTCTAAAGATCCAACCACTTTTGTCCAATAGTACTAAGGCTACAGCACATGGACCTTCGGGGACTTCCAAGATCCAGATTATAGCAGTGTATGAGGTAAAGACTGAGAAACTTGAAATTCCTTGGCCTTTTCCTCAGGCATCTGAGATGACCAGAGGGTCACCAGCATTCATGTCCACATTGCAGATAGGAAGAGGAGGAAAGGACCATTTCAATGATCTGTGTTTTCATTTACCAGAAAAATTAATTTTATTTTTCAATATACCTGATTGACTTCCATTTAATCCAAGCTACTATGTACTAGGCACTCTACTAGAAAATTGAGATACACCAGTAAACAAAGCCGGTAAAAGTCCTTAACCCTTGTAGAGCTTACATTTGGTAAGGACATATGACAGTAAAAAGTAAATGTAGTCTGTTGTTACATGATAAGTGCTATGGATAAAAGAGAGCAAAGTGAAAGGGACTGGGGTCTCCTGAAAAGGTGAGGGTGTTTTCAATTTTATATACGATATCCAGTGTAGGGATCTTTGATACTGAAGTCTCCAGTGATTTTTACTTGTGTGGTTCTATTTCTTCCAGAAAAAAGTCAGGCTGGACCTTCATAGTTAGGGACCATCCCACTTTGCTTGTAACTAGGTCAGTCATGAGAGGTTTTTTGGTTCAAAGTTCTTTCAAAGAGTAATAATTCTCTGTTCTTTAAAGCCAGAATTTCTATGCTTATTTTGTTCCAGATTGCCAAAGGCAGCATATTGAACAGCTAAATCATTCAGCATTTTAAAAATTTCTGCTTATTCTAGTCATTTTGAAGTTTGATTAATTGCCATCAACATGTTCTTTAACAAAACATTTCTGAATTAAAAATTTTAAAATAGATACGCTGGTGTGAAATAGAAATATAACTGAAAACTTTCCAACCACCGATTTCATCCTCATTTTATGCTTAACCACATGATTCTTCTAATTCAAAATTTTTATCTTCTGAGTACTGTAAATTCTCTCCCCAACCCACCACCACCAAGAAGGTGGTACTATATAAAGACAATTGCTTTATTGCAAAAGCTAAGTGTTGCTGACTTTCCCCCTGAATATCCACCTCTTACCTCTCATATATCTCTGGATTTCATCAACTCCAACTCCTCCAGAAGATCTTGTCTTTACATCTATTCCTGTCCTACCCAGCAGCCACAGCACATTCAGTGTGAGGTCCGCAGATGTATATTACTTGCTTTGTCCTGAAGAAGTAACCAGATGAATCTGATGAATTTTAAGCAGAGTATCCTGGAGTTCTGAGTTCTTGTTCTTTTCTGAAAAGAGAAAGAACAATTCTCACTTAAATTCAAAGCCACAGTGTTACTCCAACTCAATTTGTTCACTGCTTAGAATGCCTCATTTCTAAAACTACTTTCTGCCTGTCCTAAGACCTCTTATTAGAAATATTCTTCTGTTTATGAGCTTAGTAGTAAATCAGGAAAGTGCCAGTGTATTTTGGAGTAATCTGGGATTTATGTTTAGATATAAAAACCAGATCATTCAGTTCTGCTTTATTATTTTGGTGTTGGATAGTTTTTTAAAATTGAGCTGCTCTTCGAGTCTTCTATCTTTGATGATGATAGAAAACAGCATTGCTATTTCCATAGGTCATACAGAAGATGACTGAGGAATTCTTTGGCAATTTTGTGAATAATGCTTTTCAGGGTATTTAATTTCGAAATATACCTGAGTCATTGCCAGATTATCGCTACCAGACTGCGATACCCTCAAAGCATTTTTATGTAACTAAAATGGGATATGGAAAAAAAACTTCTGAAGAGGGAGACATAAATTATCAGTGTCCACGTGTGGTACTATGTAGGGGAATACTGCTATAGCTGTAATCCCTCTTGGAATGTATGGAACTTAATGGAATGTGGAACAATTTTGTTGATGCCTGTGATTCATTAACATACCACTACCACGTGAATGAGACCAGGGTTTGTTCCAATATTTACTATCATTGCAATGATTCATCATGTGGAATTACAGGCAGAGTAAAACTATTAGTTATCCAATGGAAAGAATAAACACTTGAACAAAGGTTTATTGGTAGACCCAAATACTTATTAGCTGCAAAGATGAATAATCACAGTTTTACTTTCAAGAAATTTACAATCTAGTCCAGAGCAGACATGACTGTTTTTTTCCTTTCAAACCTAGATGCTCAGAGGAAACATTTCCACACAGACCTCTAGGAAACCGTTACCAAACTACTAGTGTTGGGGTGAAATAGTGCCACTACTAGCAAAAAGTGCTGTTACTGACAAGAGCCAACAATGATGGGGGCTAACTCTGCAGCTGAATTGATGTGTCCCTTCCATGTATTACCTCATGCATTAAAACTAGGATTGGAACCCTGGCAGTCTGAATTGAATCTTGAACTATTGACACTATCTAATACTGCCTTATACAGTGGAGCTCTGAGTTATGGCAGGCCTGACATATGAACAACTTGGGTTATGACTGGAATTTTAATTTTAACTTACTACCAAAATCTTGAGTTATGACCTGAATGCCAGCTGCTTATGCTTCCAGATGGTCTCAGATGCAGATTTAATCCTCAAAGAGTTTTGGAAGGAACATTGTAATTTCACTCTTTTCATTCCTAATTGCATGGATTTGGGCCTTTTCTTTCCTTTTTATGATAAGGTTGGCTAACAGTTTGTCAATTTTGTTTATTCTTTTGAAGAACCAACTCTTTACTTCACTGATTTTTTTGTATCATTCTCTTAGTCTCCATTGCATTGATTTCTGCTCTAATCTTTATAATTTCCCCTCTTGTATGAGCTTTGGGTTTGTCCTGCTCTTCTTTTTCTAGAAGCTTGAGGTTTAGCATCAGGAACATTGCAACACCCTTTCCTGTGTGAGATCTGCTTGTATACAGGAGAGAGACTTTGAAGGCTGTGTAGAGGAGTCTGAGACTTCAATTGATCAACTTGATTTACAACCAGCCCTCAAAAATGAATTGAGTTCATAAGTCAAAGGTCCATTGTATATTCTATCCTTAATGAAGACCTTCAGCTTTTTAAATCAAAACCTTAAATTTCTCTTAAAATGTTTTTTTCTTTAAATCAAGGAGTCCAAATATCTTTATTGTGTTTATTTCACATTTTTCTAAACTTGTAATCCTTTTAGACACTCTTCTTATTCATTCATTGTGGTTTGACTGAACAGTGCTAGGTTCTGGCCAAGATATTGGAAATAGTAATGAATAAGACAAAGAAGTTTCTACCTCATGGACCTGACATGCCAAGTCCTTCTGAATCATTGTCTGGGCTTTACTTAAAAATTCTCTCATAGAGTGTGAATTAAGGAGAGGCCTGACTGAAAGGACACTGTCTTCAGAGACTAAAGTGCCAATGGGATCGTTACCACTACTGCTACATCACAGTGGAGGGATCTGTGTCTCTCAGTCTAAAAGTGAAGCTGACTTAGTTATCATTATTGCAGTTTTAGACTGATAAGATCAGAGAAGAATGGCAGATCAGGTTGTCAGGATGTAGTAAAGGCTTGAGTGTGAAACTTCAAGACAAGGCCAAGGGAGAGTGTGAGAAGCATACAACAATAAGTTCTTTAGTGTGAAGGTAGGAGAATTACTTCCAACGTATGTTTGTAGACCCAAACTGATGCTAAGATTCATGGAGTCACTGTAAGCCTCAGTGAGATAGGAAGAACATTTTCTAGGCAAGCAGGGGTAGATAGAGAATAGACCATCAACCACAGTGGACTGAGCCATGTGATCCTGGTTCTTAGGCAGGAAACCAAGGTCTCTAGGGGAAATAGCAATAGATCATATTTCTGGAGAACAAGGTAAAGCTCCAGTTAACTTTTATGATTCAAGTCCCTGGAAGAAAATGTAATGTAAATTTAGTAAAGTCAAGAACATGTGTACAAGGAATATGCACTTAAATTTATAAGCTCCTAGATTCATATGTGTGAAAATAAGAGAGATGAAAAACAGCTATCCAAAAGAACCAAAGGGCTTGAGAACCAAAAGGAACAGCTTCTGAGCTGGGCTTTCCAGCTGCCTGATAGTGTGAAGGTGAATGATGCAGAAGTAAAAACAGGGTGCAGTTGGCTCTGAGAGTTAAGATTAGCACCAGATTAGAGGTATCCTGTCAGTGAAAGGCCTGCAATAGTGCATGATGACAGAGACCAAGGCAGAAATGTCAGAGACAGGTGAGAACAGAGTTCAAGGGCAATCACTGCTTCCTTTACCCGCTGTGGAGGGCCTGGCTCCTGTGACGGTCAGACAAGGATGAAACACTGGGCACAGAAGGCCTTGCAAAGGTATAGGTGATTCGTTGACACCATTCAAAGTTTAGGCCCACTGATAAGTTTGATCCTCTTTTTATTAACTCTCCTTCGGAATCTTTCCTCCTAAGTTATCCTGAGAACCCCAAGGTAAGAACGGGATCACCAAAAAGATTGAACAGATGTATAGTTAAGGTTTACCACAGACCACATTACTCACCACCACCCTCCTGCACAAGGTCAAGGTTGTCCTCAAAACATGAAGCAGCACTTTGCAGACTCAGAATCAAAGGTTGTCAGGGTTTAGTGGTAGGGAAGCAAGGTTACTCTAACATATACAGTTTTCTGTTGTGAGGTGTATTATAATAGCCAATCACTTTTAGCATATATGCATGTTTATGTTTGCTGCTAAATTCTCATTTTATATAAAAAAACTACCTTGAGCATCTACTATGAGTTAGACACCATAGACACCAGGGTAGATTCTATCACTGTGTTCTGTCATTACTTCTCACAACTCTGTATGTATTGTTTTTCAAATGGGAGAATGTGTCTCAAAGAAGCTTGAGGAAGTATCTCAAGCAGCTTGTTCAAGCTCACAGAGCAAATAAGTGGGGCATTCTCTGTGACTTCAGCCATATTATGTTCAAATCCTCAAACTTGTCCTACTTTCTTTAATCACTGAGGCATTGAACTTGCTGTTCCTTCCTCCATTATTACCCCACCCATACCCACAGACCTTTTCTCTGCCTGGTTCACTTCTACTTGACCTTTGCATCAGGGCTTAGCTCTCAGTTCCTCCAGAAGTTCTTCCTGCCCCACCCTCCCCACCTCCAGTTTGGTTAGCTGCCCTCCTACATGCTTCCATTTCCCCGTGCCAGTACTCATCATCTCGTACCAACACTGCCTATTCACTGGGCCCTGTCTCTCACCAGGCTGCAGTCTCCCTGAGGCTAGGGGCTGTGCCTGGCTCATAGTAAGGGTTCCATAAATTTCTTTTTAATGCAAACTAAGATCCAAGTTTTAGAATTGGGGGAGAAATCAAAGTCAGGGATACATTTCAGGTCACAGTGACTGGGAACAGGACCAAGATAGCCAAGTAGGACTGGCTTAAATTTTTCTCTTTAGAAAAGCTCTTTCTTCTGGGGCAGAGAAAGCCTTTGGGTGGAGGTTTGGAGGAGATCTCATGTGACTGGCCCTGGACATTGGGATCCATTACAGCCTGGTTCCAGAAGGCAGAGGCAGAGACACTTAGTGGTACTGATTTTGTAATAAACTAGGGAGGCACAACCTCAGAAGATGTCTTCCCCTAGATGCCAGGGTGTCTAGCTTGAGTCCTGCTTTTCATATGTGGTAGTGCAGGGGAAATGGGATTGAATATGCTGTGCAGGGAGAAAACATGGATAAGGGGAACTGTAGTAGAACCTTCCTCTCTGACCTCTAGACCCAGGCCTCAAGTTCTAGCTTCTTTTATTTTATTTACCACCACCTTTTGGCCCTTGCACACCTAATTCTTGTCCCTAAGTCCAAACACCTTTCTACTTGGTTCTTCCATCAGATACTCTTTGCTTGCTTCAGCCTTGCCTTTGCAGCATGTGTCCTACATCCGGGGTCCATTGTAATCATCACTGCTTTTCAGCCTAACTCACTGCCAAACACTGGTCCCCAGGACCTTTCTCTTGAGCCAGCTGTTGACCTGGCTTCTGCCCTCAGATCCCACCCCGCCCCACCTCAGGCTAGATCTTCAGCTGGGAATTTACCAACCTCCAGGTGAGATTTTTATATCAGATATTGACACTGTGTTTTGAATTTTAACTAACATATGCCTTAATGTATCAAGAGACCATATGAGGAGGTGAAGGTGATCTTAGCCCTGGAGAGATCTGAGAATAGAGTAGGTCTTGTCCTTCATCACCCACTTATCAGCAAATATTTGCCAATAATCTACCAGATGTCATTTGCTTGATGCACACAAATTAGAATAAAAATACTAAAAAAGACAGAACAATATTTAAAAATTAGTGACCCACTATTATGCCAATTTAATTTTTTTCTAAAGAAATTAATGTTTGTTACTTAGGTGCCAGATACTGCTCAGGCCAGAATGTGAAATCCTTAAGCCAAATTGCACCACATGATCCATATGATTGTTACTTCACTGGGCAGGAGACTGCTTGCTCATTACCTGATTCAGGGTTTCTTCCTCTACTCCTCTCATCCCCAAGGACTGTACACCTTCATATAGCCAAGTGTCAATTTCACCTTCTCATAGCTTCAGCCCAATTGGCAGCCTGCAGTTTAGGAGAAACAAATCCTGTGTAAGAAACAACTCACCAGTGTGTGAGGCAATGGGTAAATCATCTAGTTTCTGGTTTTGAATCTTAATGGATTCTTGTAAGGGAGACAAAGGCACAAAACACACCTCTCATAAAAAGAGTATTTTGGAGGTTATTGAACTCCATAGCCAGATCCAGGATTACTGGAAACCATTAAGTTTAGCAACTTTGTGAAGAGACAAGTGTCAAGCTGGATATAAGTGGCATCTTTAAGTGGACCCAGAATCTCCCCTGGAGCTATATTCATCATTGTTAAGGACACCGAGAGACACATCTCCCAACCCTGTCAAGCATTTACCATACTTTACCTCCCAAGTATTTATCAGAAATCCTATTCCCTCGAGGACTACAGCTAAAATGCTTACTTCCTCTGGGACTAACAGGTGTTGAGCCTATAGCCCTATCTGGTGAGGCATCAATAGGGCACAGTCTTCCAGGGAAAATGCAGGCCTAATTCAAAAGACTGAATTAAATAGTGGCATTTCTGGTGTTCTTTAGGCCCTGGAGAGATATTTGACAATAGGAGACTTTTCTGCACAAAGGAGTGTTCAGTGTCTCCTGTCCCACCAGATCACATTAACAGCCTCCTTGACCTTTCCTCAGTAGGTGTCTGCCTTTTGTCTTTGGCTGACAACTTTATCAGGGAATGGCTCCTAGATCAGAAGTTCTTACTCAGGCAAGGGAGGAGATCTACATTCTCCTAGACTGTGTATGTTAGAAACCTTGGGGAAGCACTTTGGACCTCACTCCCCACCCTACGGTGATTATGAGTCCCTCTTATTTGATAATTGTTGAAGGGCTTAGTGGGTTGTAGGGTGCAGGTTAGCACAGACTGCTAAATTGCCCATATGTAGAGCTGTTTCTCCGTCCAACTTGGAAAGAAATGCCACAGACAGATGATGTCAGTGACACTGGAAGGGAGACTTGTTAAAATGTGGGTTCTTACTGGGTGCGAAACTTTTCCAAGGACCTCAGGAGCTGATGAGGAATGTAGACTGGAGCAGTTGTTCTGGAGAGAAATTTGGCAGTACATGGTGAAATTAAGTGTGCCTACGCCCTATGACCCAGCCAATCCTCCCTGGACTCTACGCTCTAGAGAAACCCAGGCCTCAGGCCATAAAGAGCTGTGTGTGAGGATGTTCACCGTAGCACCGGGTATAGGAATGGTAACTATGATCATGATGATACTGATAATGGCTTTCACTCACTAGATGCTTATGATACAAAATATGTATTCTCCACTACCCATGAAGTAGATCTTTTTAATATCCCTATTTTAGAAATAAGAAAACTGAGTTGGGGAGCTGCCTGAGCATGAGATAAATTAACACAGCTGGTAAATAGGTTATGATGCCAGGCAGTCTGGCCCCCAAGGGTGCACTCTCAGGGATCATGGATTATAGTCTATCCTGTGACTTCCCTGGAGTAGTGTGCATCAAGCACATGGACAATCTTAAAGGCATAGTGCTGAATGAAAAGAAAAGCAAGAGAAAAAATGAGTTCCATAGTCTAATATATATGTTTAATGTTTACAGAGATAATGCAAAATCATAAAAATTCAAATATATACTATGTGCACACACCCAAGGACATATTAGTATCAGAGTGCCAGAACTGACAAATAGGAGCCCAGGGATAAAGAAGACATGTACAACAATGAAACAGAACAAGAGAGCTTTATCTGGGATGACTGGAAGTACTTGGTTGTTTTCTCCTATAATTTATCACCCCCACCATAATTTTCTTTATGAAACTAAATCCAATGTTCCAGCCCATCTTTAGAGAGGATCAGAAAAAGCATATATGTTTGCTTTCTCTTCCTCAGGGCTCCATCTAGTGAACCCAGAGTCCTGCAGTATGTGTGCATTCTACCTGGGGTATTACTCCACCTTATGGTGTAAGTTCAATTATCTCCATTTCACAGATGAGAAGTGGTTCAGAGAGGAAGCGAACTGCAAATTATCAGCATATCAGAGGTTCAGCCCTGTGGTTTACAGCACACCATGTAATGGTCCTGGAAGCCACTGGTTTCATCTATAGAAATAGCCACTTTTTCTCAGAAACCCTTTCCCTCTCCTGAAGATAACTAAGTTTAAATGTGATCACCATGGGTTGTTTTTGTTATTTCAACTGTACACAAATGAAATTCTCTTGTGTTGGGATTCTTTCACTTAACATTATGTTTGAGTCTCATCTGCAGTAGTATGTTCATTTTCACCACTAAATAATATTCCACTTAATAAATTTATCACAATTTTCTAACTTATTCCTTTCTTAATAGATACTTGGGCTATTTTCAGTTGGGGCTGTTGTGAACAACGTTGTATGATTATTCTTGAGCACTAGGGAGTAGACTTTTTGGCATTTGGGTATGCATACGTACAGCTAGAACACATATACTTCTGGTGAATAAGATATATAGGAGCTCATTGGTTTGAATTGAGCTTCTGCACTAAACCCAGTGGAGTCACTCATGCTGAAGTTTTATGTCACCAAAGCAAATCTAAGCTATTTCATTAGTGATTCATGAATTGGGCAGCTTCCCATCTATGAAACAGAAAGACACCGTTAAGCCAACAGAACAGTTGATTTATGTAAGGAAGAAGGAAACAGAACAGTTCAAAAACATCTTTGTTACTTCAAGTTTTTATCCTTATAAGGGTAAAATTGGTCTGTTTGGGGATTTAGCTATCATCTTTTCCCTGAATTCTCATAAATTCAGATCTTACAGCAAACAATTTAGCTTTTGGTTTGGTGATGTGGAGCCTTAGCATGAGTAATTCATTTTGGGCTGGTCTGTTGGGGCCTACTTCAGGAGCTAAGTTCAAATCAATGGTCATTGTCTTAGACTATTTCATGTTGCAATAATTGAATACTACAGACATGATAATTTATTTTAAAAAATAAAACTTTTGTTAGCTCTTGGTTCTGGAGGCTGGGGCGGCGGGGGGGGTGTGTTTCATCTGATGAGGACCTTATTGGTAATGGGGGCTCTTTGCAGAGTTCTGAGGTAGCACAGCATCACATGGTGAGAGGAAAACATTTATAAGAGAGAGAAAAACTGGCTTTTATAACAGGTCCAGTCTCACGATAACCCATTAATCTATAGCTTAGTCACCTTTTAAAGGTTCCAGCTGGTCCTCCCTCTTAATGCCTCACAGCAGGGGTTAAATTTCAATGAGTTTTGAGGGGAACATTTGAACCACAGATAATTTTATTTAACAATAATAATAACTATTTTTAATATTTATTGAGTGGTTATTTTGTGCCAGGCATTATGCTAAGTACTTTCCATAAATTCTGCCATTCATTTCATTAAAAATCCAGCAATAACCTAAGAGTGCACTTTCATATGAGCAAACCTGAGGCTTAAAGAGATCAAGGCCACACAGATAGAAAGCTCCAGAGCCAAGAGTGAGGTCTATCTGGTTCAAATTTAGCACCCTGAGCCTTCCCATTATATGGCTTCTCTCAGTCCTTAGACTGGCTTTTTAGCCTTGCTCTAGAGAGTCCCACTTCTTTTCTCCATGATAGCAAGGCCATTTAGCATTACTTATTTTTTTGGAACCAGAGATCGAACTCAAGACCTTGTGCTTGCCAGGCAGGCACTGGTGCCACTGAGCTAAACCTACAGCCCTTAGCATTACTTTTTGATTGACCAGTTGGCTTCTGAGTGAGAAGCTCAGAAGCTTCAGTCTAAAGGGGCCCTTTCTTTACATGTCAAACTATGGCGATGGTGATCTGGCTCTTTCTTTTGTGATATCTTTATTGCCTCTGTACATACCCATTTTCCTCCCTCCACTGTCAGTATCTTTCTAAAAGGTCCACTGCTGAACTTCCTGCCAGCTATGTCCCTAATACTGCAGGCTAATCACTGAGCAAGTACTGGGAAAGGTCAGAAGGGGTCCTCATGACTCAAACTTGGGGGGCTCAGAGAGATCATGAAGAGGGCTCTGTGAAGCAATGTAGGGAGCCAGGCTGGTGGAGGAGGGGACATTCTTTCAAGGTTATCCTGCATAAAGTAAATGCTTTTCCATTTCTACTGTGCAAAGAGAGGCACAAAGTTCTCATCCCTGGCCTCTTGCCATCCAATCCAGACCAAGTGACATGTTTGTAAGTAGGGTGCTCTTGATAAAGCCTTGTAATGTCTGGGACAAAATACCAAAAGCTCACAACTTAAAGGAGGAGAGATTTGACTTGGCTCACAGTTTCAGAGGTTTCAGTCCTGACTGGCTGGCTCTAACATACAGACATCATGGTAGAAGGACATGTTGGAACAAAGTTGCTTACTTCATGGCAGCTGGGAAGCAGAGCACAGGGAAAGAGAGCCAGCAAGAGATGAGCCTTTCAAAGGCATGCTGCCAGTGACCCACCTCCACCAACAAGGCCTTATCTCCTAGCAGCACATTCACCCATGAATGCCATGAATTAATCCACTGAGGAGTATAGAGTGTCCTCATGATCCAACCAGCTCTCTGAGGGTCTCTGTATTCAGCCAAGTTGACAATTAAGATTAACTAGCACACCCATGTTTGCCTTGCACTTTACACCTTTCTTTTTTGTTATATAGAAAACCTCATCTGATTCCTGGCAGGATTTTTGTGAGGTAAAAAAAAAAAAGTGCAGCAGAATAAGTTTTACAGTTGCATAAGCTGAATCCAGAGGAGCCAAAGAACTTGCCAGTGTTGCTTAGTTTAGCTAAATAACAACAGGCCTAGGACCAGGGTTCAAGTCTCTATGTTTCTAGTTTAATTTTCTTGGCTTGACCTTGCCACTTCTATAACAAGGGTTATGAGCATTTAAATCAATGCCTCTTGATAACTCTTTGAGTGCCAGGCATTTTTTAAAGCAAGTTATGGGGCGTAAAGAGAATAGTCCTCAGGGAATAGACTATTGGAGAAATAAAAAATATTTAAAATCTTTTTACTGAAATATAACGGATGACCACAAAAGGACAAAATCCTATGTACTCAATCTGTTCAGTGAACTCTCACACAAAGAGAACACAATTGTGGACTCACTCTCTAGATCAAGAAATACAACAATATTGGCACCCTGGCAGCCCTCTTTATGCAAACAATTAAAAGTGCTACTAGGCAGGCAAAAATTAAACAGAAATAAGACCTTCAGAGGGTAATGGAAGAAACAAAGTTCCTGGAGAGGCTTCCCAGGGGAGGTGAGCTGAACATCTGCCTGGTGCGGGTAAATGTGGGGCTGTGGTGGTGGTGGTGGGGATAATGAGAAGGAAGAGCGAAGAACAGGGATGAGTCTTTTGTTAGCCCCCTCGGAGGGAAGGGAAAGTGGCTAGAGAAGGCCTACGAAACTCAGCAGCTGAAAAGACCCCAGGGCTGCTGCTACCTGGCACTAAACCTACTTCTGGGCTGGTGGTAGGGGCGAGCCCTTTTCACCTTTCCTTCCCCAAGCACTCCCAACCTCACTCTCACATTCTCTCTGTGAAGTTCCTATGTTAAGATATGTGAGGAAATGTCAAATGTACCCAAATGAGAAGAGTTAGAAGAGACTCTTGTGGCTTTAGCTCACTGTTTGACTCCAACCTACTGAGGTACAACCTGAGACCAAGATGCAGGACCAAAGACCACACATACACTCCCTGATCAACTTAGAGAGCCTTGAGAAATAGATGTAGTTTAACTAGATCCTACTGAAGGAAAGGCTATTGCAGTGTTTGGAGAATACATGATGTGGGTGGTCAAGGACATAAAACTTCAAATTTTCTTATGTTCAAATTATAATCGCTTCATTGAATGTGAGAGCATCAGAATTCCACCATCAGAGCATGCTAATTGTGCCGTTTTCTGAACACGCATCTAATTACTTCACTTTTCCTTGCCCTCAGTCACCTTCCCTCACACTCCAAACCAACTTTTTTCTTTATCCCATTAATATTCCTAAACCATGTCCTCTGCAAGACAGGCTTAACATTTGGATCTCCTGATTTGACACATTTATGTCTCATGCATAAACTCTCTTTTGCAAAACATACCCTTCAATGACTGGCATGCTAAGCAGTAGGCAAATGGACCTGGCTCAGTAAGAATATCAACTATATTTTCTATTTTAGCTTTTTATTTTTATGCTTTTATTTTAAAAATAGTGAACTACATCTACCAAATTAACTTCGTAATTCAGGACTTTTCAGAAAATACTACTTCACCTCATCCCAGGAAGGGTATTGCTAAGCAAGATAGACTTGTTTTACTTTACTTTGGTTTTTAATAGGCCTCAGGATTTCAGTGCTGCTTGATCTTTTTGAATTTTATCCATGAGCTCTAGAAGGCTTTCTAGCAGCCTAGGTAGAGAGGTTCTGTGTAGATCTTCATTCTCCTTGCTCTAGTAAGGGCAGCCCCAGGACCTATGGCTGCTTTGCAAGTTGTGTGGGAAGGAGCAAGCTTTTGGACCTCTTCCAAAGCAAGAAGTCAAACTAGAGAGTGCAATGAGGGAGAGGTGGAGTAATTCTTCCAACATTTGAACTCTGGATTAACATTTTATCATGTTGGCATAATGCTGTTAGAAGTTTTTAAAAACACAACATTGTTAAGACTTATAATAACCACTTATATTTAATCTTTGTTTGCTTGAACAGCTAAAAGATCTTGCGGCCTCTTGAGAGGCCCCTTTTCAAAGTGAGAATGAGAGGAAGAAAACACAAATTTCGATGACAAAAGTGTTAGCCAAAATAAGCCTGTAATGGGAGTGCCAGGAATGTGGAGTTCAGCTTACAACAATGAAAAATAAATAAGCCCCAAAAGAATATTAAAGGAAGTTCAGCATTGATCCTGAACCTAGTAAGTAGGGTACATGACAAGGAAAGGGGAATATATTCATCAGTAACTAGGATATGTAAAAACGATCAGATTTGTTGTTGAATTTCTACTCGCTATGAACCTGCCTAATTTGAAGGGATTTGCCCAAGGTCTCCTACTTGGAACTGTATTTAAATTCAGCTCTCTCTGATTCCAAATGTCATGTTCTTAACACAAAATTCCATGGACTCCTCAAATGATTTCCAATCTATTGGGAGTACAGGGGGGTGGCCTTGGAATTTCTTCCTCCCATTTGGTATTTTTTCAAGTGATCTTATATTGCTTTTCTAATGAAAAGTGAACTTAATACATCCTACTTAAAACAAACAAACAAACATTGCACACTAGAGAACTATTGCCAGTCAGGAGAAGAAATAGCATTCCAACCATCTCAAACTACTTTGCTTGTATGAGTTTATTTTATCCCTCTTTTTTTAAAAGGCCGAAATACCTTTCTGATATGAGAAGTTCCTTACTGTAGCAATTATTTCCACTTGATTTCTGTTGGGTCCATCTTTTTTTTTTTCTTGGTACCCAGGAATGAACTTGAGACCTTGGGCTAGTGAAGCAGGCAGAACCACTGAGCTAAATCCCCAGCCTGGGTCCATCTTTTAAAGGTCAACCCCATTATCTTTCTTCATATAAGGCAAAATACAGTTATATTTAGTTAGGGTTCTTCAATAGGAGCCCCATTAGGATAGACAGACATATAGATACATTCTTGTGTTGTTTAACTATGAAGATATGTTCTGAGAAATATGTCCTTAGGCTACTTCATCATTGTGTGAACATCACAGGGTGTACTTGCACACATCTAGATGACAAAAGTCAGTCATTTAATGTGGCCTCTTGACGCAACCAACATGAGACATATGAGCTTGTGACAAGCATAAATAACATGGCATATTATATTAAAATAAAAAAATACATAGCACTAAAATATGACAATATGCATAGTGTAGTAAATACATAGTCATTTATCATTATTATCAAGTATTCTATACTGTGCATAACTAAGTTATGCCACCCATTTGTATGACTCTCAGCTCTGTAGGTATGTTTATACAACTATCACCACAAACATTTGAGCAATACACTGTACTATGATGTTGTGATGGCTATAGGTCACTAGGCAACAGGAATTTTTAACTACATTATAATCTTATGAGACCACAATCATATATGTGGCCTGTCACTGACTGCAACATCACTGTACAGCTCATGGTTGCATAAAAATAGAGGAAAGAGGAGAGGAGATTTTTAGGGGAATGTGATTGCAGAGACTGAGAAGTCCCAAGACAAGCAGTGTAAACTGGATACCTTGGGATGCCAGCAGCTTGACTCAAGTCCAAAGAGTTCAGAACCTGAAGGGGCCACTGGAATAAGTCCTGGATCCAGAGAGCCTGGAATGCTGAAGTCAAGGGCAGGAGCTGGCATGTCCTGGCTGTGAGAGGAGATTGCCTTTTGTGCTCTGATGGTGCCGCCCACACTGGAGGAGATCTTCCCCTTTCTGCCCACTGGCTCACACACCAGTCTCCTCTCCAAACACCCTCAGAACCACACCAATCAGTAACGCTTTACCAGTTCCCGAGGTATTCCTTATTCCCTTCGTGTTTACATCTAAAATTAACCAGCCCAATGGGTGAGCTTTCAAGTTCATTTTTTTTTTTAATTGATGAGTTTCCCAGTGGACTGGAGTAAAGTATTCTTAATAACTGAAGTTAAAGAATGCTCAGAACACAGTGACTAAAGAGCTCTGGTCTTTGAAATTCTATGTCTGAAGGACAGTTTTCTATGTAATCAAAGGAACCCATACAAGTTCAGGAAGAGGGCTGCCAAAATGGAGAAGTTGGGACTACACTAAAAAACTTACCTTTTTTGTAATGATTTTTAAAACTGACTTCAATTCTGGGATGTTCTCTTTATTCCCATGTTCATGTGAATTGACTGATCACAGCTTCATGCTAGTTGACTTCAAAGGTTATCCAAGAGGACATTTCTCTGACTCTCTAAAACTTATACTATGATGCAAACTTACTAATGTGAAAACACAAGGAGAAAAGAAAGCAAATGAAGATCGAAAAAGATTGGCACATACCAGCATGACAATTCTGTCATATGAAACCATCATCTTCTATTCTTCTTTCCCTTTCCTCCACTGTTGTGTTTTATAGCTTGTCTTTCTAAAAAGTTTTATTGTGACTGTGCTAGTTTGGGCCTCAATGTGTAATAGGGAGAGGAATAGTGATAGTCTTTTTCCAATCTTTTCCTGGACACTTCTTGGTATCATGAAGGGATAGGTGAGGGAGAATCTCATGTGGCCCAAGGTGCACTAATTTCCCCATAGATGAAAAACATTGAATGCAAAATCCCAGACAGTTCTAAGAAGCATATCTATTGTGGACTGAAAAACCAAATCTGAGGGCACAAATCATCTGGAACATATTCCTAGAAAACTAAGCAGTTTTACTAAGCAACTGTCAAAGCTGTAGTGTTGCATGCACAAGTAATACTGCTATAGCTACAAGTATGATAGGAATATCTGAGTGTGGCCTAGAGAAGGGGAAAGCGGGCAGGATCTGGAAAAGCCTCTCTTGTCCTCGTGACTTTGAGGATAAACAATCCGAAAGAAATCTCCAGATGACTGATAGGAAGCCTGCTATAGTAGAAAAGCCAAAGAATTATAAAGGAGACTAAGAAGAACATAGGAGACTTACTTTTGGGGAGGAAGTCCATTGCAGTAAAAGAAATAAATACCACAAGGCAGCTTCCCATTTGGTGTAATGCCACATTGGATTTCCCATTAAGAATCTGAAAGGGTATAATCAGTTAGTGGAATTCATGACCTCAAGATCAAATGTAACCAACTAATAAAACAGGGATGTGGACAAAAAGAAGTCTAGTCATACCAACACTAGGGAGAACCAACAAAAAGTACACTCTCCTCTCATCTGTTAATACAATTTGAAATTGGACTCTGAATCAAAGTTTATCTTGTGGGCACCTCCATCCTGATTTCAGTCTCTGAACCCTTGGCCCTGACTGCTGTAGCAAGTTGGGCCTTGAATCAGGTCAGATATTTGCTTATAGAGCTTTTTCTTTCTCCTTATCTTCCTTGCTCTTCTATCTCCCTCCCCTCTTTTTCCAACTGTTGTGAAGCCCAAACCAAGAAGTCCTGGGCCCTGATCTCATTCATGGCCTGTGCCAGAAACTTGGTGGTACCACACACTGATTTACTCAAGCACTGCTTTTATTTTACTCTTCTAGAATTATATGGGTTTAAACCTTTTCTGATGGTTGTTGCAAAGTTGAGGAATATGAATCCACAGAGGCATAAATTGTTCTTTTCCCTTTCTGTAGTCTTTTTGGAGGTCATTACATTGTGAAAGAATTCACAAGCGTCTGCTCCTAAAATGAGACAGGCTTGCTGAGCTGAGAATACCAGAAAAAAAAATACTAGATGCCCTACCTGAGAATGGAGCATGAAGTGGAATTAAAAGCATTTGGTTAGGCTGGGGATGGAGCTCCGGGGTAGAGTGCTTGGATAGCATACCTGAAGCCTAAGTTCCTATCTCCAGTAGCAGGGGAAAAATAATTGATACTCTCTTATTTCTAGATAAAATTCATTAAATGACCTTGATTCTTATAAATTAAGGTGATTTAGGGGTCTTGTCATTGAATTACTATAAAATCCATATTGACAGAAAATTTGAGTGGTCTCTTAACTAGGAAAGTGGTATTCTGTGGGGATTTGTTCTTGTTTCCTTTGCTGCACAGGAGAAAGGACTTAAGCAGTTATTTTTCACTGTGGCCAATGCATTTCCCATATTTTGATTCTCTCTTGCCTTTTGAAAAAAGTTTAGGTTGTTGATTACTTGACACAATGAAGGTTTTTTGCCCATGTTTACTTTAATAGTGTCTGGCCTCAGGAATCAAAGAGAGATGAAAGTGGCCAAAGTTTTCCTACATACCACACGAAATCTCCTCAAAGGGTTAGGGCTGGCATGTTGAACTATCCACTTCCTGTGCTATGATCTCTCGTATGGTGGGTTCATACTGAGGGCCAGGGAAATGATGTCATTTCCTTTAATGCTGAGTGTGGTTTTAAGAGAGATTTTTGCTATTGTTAAATTGCTCATATGTGCTAAGTACAACCCCAGTAGGATGAGTCTCTAATATCTGCTGCTATACTTGACCCCGCCAGTGTCTTTCATCAGTGGCCTGTGAGACTGATAGTAGATTACAGCAAGAAGGATAATGATATATCATATCTATTTTTATGTCGTGGCTCCTAGTTGAATTTCTGTCTCATATTTGAAACTCAGTAAACATTTTCTTAATTAAAGTAGTGGTGGACTCTGGTATTCTACTTAACTTTAATATATAGCAAGTCCAATATTGCACAAGTAAATTCAAAGGAATAGGACACAGGGAATCTATAGCATGGTGACTGAGCCTATCCACTCGCACAAAATAACAAAGATATGTCCATGTTTTAATCCCAGAACCTGTGAATGTGACTTTATTTGGGGAAAAAAAGTGGATTTTTTTTTTTGGTACCAGGGATTGAACTCGGAACCTTGTGCTTTTGAGGCAGGTGCCGGACCCACTGAGCTAAATCCCCAGCCCTAAAGTGGATTTTTTTTAACAGCTGTAATTAAGTTAAGGGTTTTCAGAGGAGATCATTTTGGATCATCCAGATGGGCTCCACATTCAGTAACAGGTGTTTTTTAAAAAGACACATAGAGGAGAGACACATGCACACAGAGGGGACAGAGGCAGGTGCACAGTGACAATTATACACTAATAACTACCAACACCCACTAGAAACTAGAAGTGAAGCTCAGAACTGATCCTCCCTCAGAGCTACAGAAGGAACCAACACCACTGGCACTTTAATTTCAGACTTCAATATTTCAGAGTGGTGAGAGAATGAATTTCTGTTACTTTAAGCCTCCAAGTTTGTGATTGCATGATATGGCATCTGCAGCAAATGTATATGGAACCTATAGGGAACTGTCAGAAAACAGAATACAGTATTTCTTTTTCCATACATTTCTGTAGGATTGACACACACTGTCAATTCTGTGGAAATGACACATCCATTTCCATACTTTACATAGCTTAGCCAAGCATGGGCCACAGTGTCTAGCCAAGGTCACTGCATGAGGACTTCCTCTTTCTGAGTTCTGGTCCTGCTTTACTTTGGGTAAGTCATTCCTTATACAAAAGGGAGGTGCTTGCTGGCTGCATCCCACATAACTCTTGAAATGTCTGAGGCAGAGTAGAGGGGAGTTTTAGGAGGGGTGTGTATAAGAAAGAATAACCTGAACAGCACAATTTAAACCCTGGTTCATAGAGCATTAAATAGCACAAGCTGTTTAGATTTAGTAGTAGGCTCCTACTAGTGAGTAGGAGACTCCTTTTTAATTTTGGAGTGGGGACATTTGTTCACTTATTTTTCAGACAGACCCAGACCAAAGCTTTATATCACTACATTTATATGGGAATCAACACTCTTTAGAGGACAACACAGCTGTGCTAACTGAGTGCCTGCAGCTGAATCAACACAAATTGTGACCAAAAACATTATAAGCTAGAAAAATGGTCTGTGCTGAAAGAACATCAGTCCCAAGAGAGGCCACCTGGAACCTTAAGCACTCATATTGAAGGTTAAACCTTCCAAGTCAGCCCATAAATTGAGCTGTCCTTGCTGTTCCCCAACTAGCTTGGGCCCAAACAGCTATCGTGTGAGTGATTGGGATACTGCGGACTCCCACTTTAGCTTTTCTTAAAAGCTCATGACAGGGACTTTTGACCAGGAGACCTAGCCAGAGACCTAACCAGAGACCTAGCCAGTGAGGACCACTGGGCACTCCCATCAGCCTCCAGATTTTCCCCCACTGCCCCGGGCTCTTGGCTGTACAGCTACTTGGATCCACACTACAGAGGCACAGGGGAGCATAAAGGCCATTGTCCTGAGCTGCAGAAGTGAACAACAGAGAAAGGGCCTCTCTCAGGCTTCCTGATGAAAACTGAAACCCACTGGAAAAGTGAAGAGAATCTCTGTAATAAAGGCACACCAGACCACTGTGCTTGGTAAATTGGAGGGATCATCACCTCCCATCAGAACCTGGATTATCTTCAGGGGAAGGGCAGCTGCAGAGCTCCTTGCAGAGTTCAAGAAAGAACATTGCAGAGTTCAACACTGCAGGAGGACAGGGAGCTCAACTTGGGACTTGCAGCCAGAAATCTGCCTGAATCTCACAGGTCTGGGACTGGCTTGCTGAGACTCATTGGCTTATAACTGCACACTGCTGCCTATGTTGTCTATTGTGACAGCAGAGACATACCCTGAAGGAGGCCCTTCATTTTTATCTTTTATTTGTTATTTTTAACATTACCACTATTTTTTTTTTGCTCTTGCTCTTTTAAATTTTTTATTTTTCT